TATCCAATATATATATGGTAAATATTCCTTGGATTTGATTTGTACAATTGAGGGCTCATCTTGTGGATGGACCCTTCCATGGCCTAGGCATGTGATGATACTACAGTGCACTGTTTGTGATTGATAGAAAAAGAGTCACCTAGTGTTTATATTACCCTTGGGGAATTTGACACAACAGGTGTATCTCAGAACTGCATACCATTGCAGAAAGGAGCAAGCATCTGCAGATCTTTAGGGAACCTTTATGTCAGTTGGTGTCTGTGATGCAGCTGAAAGACATCCATGCCAACACAAAATGGAGAAGGGTAGTGGAGACACAGGGAACCCTTGTACATTTGTTTGTATCTGTAGTTCAGTGGCACGAAAGAATGAAACTCTAGTAAATACACCTGGAAAACCAAAAAAGCCTGTACCCATGCCCATGCTTTTGTGTCTAGTTGATGGCATCCCAAGATGACTCTATTAGTCAGGGTTTTCATTGCCTTACCCTCACTACTTGATGGCTCATATTGAGTTAGTCATGTAAAAAGCCAAGCCCTGTGTGCAAGTTGTACCATATTTTGATGGGGGCCATTGGCCAGGCTACCCTCCTACTTGGCACCATCAAAGTTCTATGGACCTTTCTTGTTGTCCACTAAATGGACAGTTCTACTACTCAACTTGCAAGTGTTAGATATGCAAGGGATATAAGGTGTGGCCTCCTCCCTAACTTAGCTATGCAAGCAAGCCAGTGCCTTAAGCACTGTTTCCCCTATTATCAGGTGGCCATTTGCTCTCTGGCCCCATTATTCATCTTTAAAGCATGTTTTTCTGGAGACCATTTGCTCACAAGTAATGAGATGAGCCCCTCCACTATTCTTTACCTTGTGAGGAGCATGGTACTAGCTAAGGCATCCAATATTGCATCCAACCCTGGCTGCTTCCACGTTAACTTGGAAGCTCTGAATTGTACTCATAGGTATCTCATATATGCTAACAAGCAACTGGCATCAGTTTGTTCCACAGGGCTGAGTATGATGCAGATGTGACTAGGCTTTATCACATGCACCACACAAATCCTAGTGGAGGTTGAACTATGGGATATTGCAAAGGAATTCATGCCAAGGCATCTCACATGTATCACAGGGAGCCTAAAAAGAAGAGGAGACATCCAGACCCTATTCAGAGATAGAGAAGCTGGAAATTTTTACAACATGGCATACACTTACCCAATTCATTCCTCATCTTTGATTGCCTTTCCTAAAGAGAGAAACATGGAAAAAACAACAGGCAGGAGCAAAAAGGAAATGAGAAATGGAACATGCTTGGAAACAAAAAGATAGAGAAATAAGAAAAAAAGAAATTTATGTAGAGCAACACATTCAAGGTCTGCATTCAGTGGCAAAGAGAAATTATATTTGATTGGGTGTTTCTTGATAAGAAGTGCTGTACATGGAATTTGCAACATTTTTATCTTAAAATCTGCTTGTGTGATTTCCCGTATGGGATAGAAATTATTTGTTTGACTTTATTGGTGATAGGCATACACTACTTTGTTTGTATTTTTGTGTGTCCATGCTAATATTGTAGTTTGAGTGTGATAACTTTTCACTTCACAGGATCAGAAGAATATTGTAAGTTCATACTTATTTCAAAGGATGCATCTACTTAAATCATGATTCATTTTCTAGGTTCTTATGATAATAACATATACTGTTTTATATCATAAAAAATTTTTCTTTTGGACCACAAACAGACTGTGTAAATATATGTATTAATTACTGTCATGTTTATAGATAACACTGCAGATACGAAGGTATACTATAATAGAGGGCAAATAGATATTGATGTGCAGAGATATTTTATTAATTTTCATGAAGTCAGGGTAAGCACATTTAGATAATAATGTACATAATATATGAGGATTAGATTGATGTTTAAGAAACAAAAAAATAAGTTTGCTAGATTATTACTTCAGGAATTTTCATATTATAGTGACATGAATTTATTGATGTGCAGAGATATTTTATTAATTTTCATGCAGTCAGGGTAAGCACATTTAGATAATAATGTACATAATATATGAGGATTAGATTGATGTTTAAGAAACAAAAAAATAAGTTTGCTAGATTATTACTTCAGGAATTTTCATATTATAGTGACATGAATTTATTTCTGTTTGTTGCTCTAGACATGAAATTACCAGTAAGCAGCCATGATCACTGTTTTCATCTACTGGGATATAAAGAATACTAAAGAGATTTCTCAAACAAAGGTGTTACACAAGCCCAGTAATCAAAAACAGAATAATTTCTAAAACAAGACAGTGATTAACACAGAGTTATATTTTCAGCTGGAAAACTCTGGTGATCCCCTGGAGTTCACCAATGCCCACCCATTGTCATACTGGACATGTGTGTATTTTCTTATTGTCACCATGTCCACTGTGGGTTATGGCGACGTTTATTGCCAGACTGTGTTTGGAAGGACTTTCCTTGTCTTCTTTCTCCTCGTTGGCTTGGTAAGTTTTTTTCCTTCATTGGCTGTCTATTTTTCTAATTGTTATTATTATTACTGTTATTTTTTTATTGGATAATGATTTTTTTTTACTATTTTATAATAATGATGATTATTATTGTTACTTATTATTGATACTATTATGATTATCATTATGCTTGTTACTATGGTCATTATTATTATTATTATTATTATTATTATTATTATTATTATTATTATTATTATTATTATTATTATTGTTATTATTATTGTTGGTATTATTAGTGTTATTGTTATTATTTTTCTGGTAGGAAGCTGGGGTGTCGAGGGTATTGCAGCTCCAACACATAAAGCTGTTAACCCATACAATAGTCATATTTTGCGTACTTCTAAATTTTTTTCTGGCTCAGAAATTTATTTTGAAAAAAGAAAAAGAAAAGTAGAGTATTATGGACACTTTTTTTTAAAAGCTTTATATCAAGTAGGATTGTATTCAGAAAGCTCCCTTCAAATGTTTCAGCATTGTACACTTCAATATTTATCTGTTAATCTATTAAGTTATTTGTTTGTTTATTTTTTATGTATATATATTTATGTATTCCTAATTATATTCTCCATTTGATAAGCCTAACCCACGTTCCACAGAGCTGAACAAAGGGATGGCTTTCTTATTTCTTTTATCACTTCATTTCATTTGTTTTATTTTATCTTTTATTATTTTAGTTCATTTATTATTTATTAATTTAATTTTTTGCCCTTTTAATTAAGACAGTAATACCTAAAAATTAACATAACACAGGGAGGGGATAATTTGCACCTGGTGATCCCCTGCCACTCCCCACCACCCCAGCCTCGGACACCCCAGCTCACCCCTCCCCTTAACTTGACCGAGACACTAATGGGTGGGTCCAGCCAGCCACCACCTGTGTCTAAGTGTTCCCCACCATCAGCAATCTTAGGAGTGATGATAAACCAGTCTTCTCTTTAGGGATGTTTGAATACAAAACATGATTTTTTTTTTGTATATTTGGAAATAGGATCAGTGGTTGATATTGCTATACAACAAACAGTTTCATTTACTGACAGTCTACAAACAGTGACCTATGAAGTTGTTGATACTAACTTATCGTTGGAATTGGCAGTGTTGATAAGGGGACTCAGGAACACGTTTGCATAAACTCTTCTAGATAAAGATAGCTTTATTATCTATTTTGCACATAGATTCATTTGTTTCCGTTGCTTTTTCTCTCTCGACCCAAATTTCTTCTGTTTATTGCTATCTGCTACGGGAATCACCTGTCACGGGAGGGTGCCACTAGCTGGTGTGCTGGTGCTGCTCCTTGCCCAGGGTGCCACCCATTTAGGGACACCACCCACCCACTGGTGCCACCCGCCCTTTGGTGCCATCCGCCCAGGGGTGCCACCCACCCAGTGTCACACACCCCATCCATCTGGGGATCTCGTGCGTCCTTTGTAACAGGACTGTAACCTACACCACCCGTGCTGCACTGCTGAGTGTGTGGCGGCTGCCTGCAGCGGGGGCCCTGCCTGGGTTGTGTTCCCCTTTCCCCCCAACACTGCTGCACACTGACTGCTGCTGCCACAACCTCTGCTGCTAGTGCTGTAGTCCTCACCAATGCTAGCCTCAGTAGTCGATAAATAATCACCACATTGTTTCGTATATGATCCACAATGTCCTTTTAATGCTCGTGCCAGTTTTATATTATTATTGTTTTAAATTACCATTATGTTTTCTAACATATTTTTTGTTCAGGTTACTTTATGCAAGTGGTTTGACTGCTTAAAGGATGTTGCCATTTGTGAAGCTATCGCTAAAAGCTGTATAATATAACCTCTTATTGGGGTTTTTTACACCAACTTAACCTTTAGTACAGCACTTAGTATTTGGCCACATTGTGATTGGTCTTTTTGATGGCTATTTAACCATGGTCATAATTAGTCAGTTGCCATTAAAATTCCACGGCCCGTGTTAGTTCTTACTAGATATCTGCTTTTCACTGGTTCTCTGAAGTTGATCCTTTCTTTATATTTGTTAAATCTACTTCCAATATCCAGTTTGCTCTCAGTAGTACTGAGATAAATGTTGACTGTATATTTGTCATAACTTGGTGTAGCATTAAAACATATAATATGTTTCTTAGACGAGACATTGTAGCACAGCTATTTTAAACAGTTTGAAGTATATAATACTTCTATTTATTTGAACTGCGTAAGTTTATTTGACTCATAGGATAACCATAGATTATATGTCAACATGCTTCCAGTACTATACTATGATAATGACACTTCTAAGGTCAGATTTGATGCTAAGTGAAGATCTATTCTTGGTCTGGCTTTTAACCAGGAGGGAGCATGTATTTATATCATGTTATGGCTTTTCTTTGCCTGTAATGATACTATTAAGACCTCATGCTGCAGAATGTGATAGTGCCCATGCTTCAAATCTTCCTAAAGGACCATGAATGGTATTCATTATGTTATTATATCTGGTTGAATATGTACACACGTCCCTTACACACCAGCCTCTCCCCCAACTTCCTAATCCTCACCCCCAGCTTTTGTCTGGACTGTCACCTCTGCCAAGACATGACATCAAGTCCTATCCTTTTCTTCTATATTTTCAAAATCTTCATTTGTAGAAATTGCCTTTTAAGTAGTACTTTGACTCTAGGTTATTCTTCTTCTACAGTTTTCTTTTTAGCTTTATAATAAGTTTGAATGATTTCTTCTCTTGGTAAATCTGGTTTGTGACTGGCATCACAGCCATACATCTTATCTTTCTATATCAGTATTCATATTTTTAGCATTGTGCCTTCTTGATATGATATTGCTTTCTTGGCCATCATCTTTATCTTCTCTGGTTCTTGAGCTTTTGATCATGTTTAGCTATGCCTCTGTAGTATTCATTTGCATTGCACTTCTAGTCTTTGATCTTATAGTGCTTTGTCTCCAGGAGCCTTCATAGTAGAGAATTCATGATATTCTTATAGTGGCATAGTTTATTATTCTTCTTGGCTATCATAGTGACTAATATTTTGAATGACTTAAAGCATTCTGACAGTAATATAATTGTCCTCATATGATATAGATTTGATTATGTATATGTAAAGTAACTTAATATTTTTCATATAAAATCTTTACATCTGATATATAATGACATAAATGATAACAATGACATCAGAGTTGTTACTAATGACGTAATAGTCATAATAGTTTAGTGACAATATATTTTTTTTTTCACATTGACTTCATAGTTTCTAACTGTGACCTCAGAACCCTTTGCAGCGACCCATGAACTAACAAGAGACACAATTGTTTCTTCATCTTATAGTGCTTTGTCTCCAGGAGCCTTCATAGTAGAGAATTCATGATATTCTTATAGTGGCATAGTTTATTATTCTTCTTGGCTATCATAGTGACTAATATTTTGAATGACTTAAAGCATTCTGACAGTAATATAATTGTCCTCATATGATATAGATTTGATTATGTATATGTAAAGTAACTTAATATTTTTCATATAAAATCTTTACATCTGATATATAATGACATAAATGATAACAATGACATCAGAGTTGTTACTAATGACGTAATAGTCATAATAGTTTAGTGACAATATATTTTTTTTTTCACATTGACTTCATAGTTTCTAACTGTGACCTCAGAACCCTTTGCAGCGACCTATGAACTAACAAGAGACACAATTGTTTCTTCATCTTATAGTGCTTTTGTAGCTGCCCTCCCTAGAGATTCTTGGTTGTTCTTCTGTGATAACTCCTTAGTGTCTCTTGCTAGAGGTTTCATACATCTTCCTATTTGGTCATTATTAGTTACTTTATGTTTCTCAAGACTCTTTGTGCCACCTTTCTAAGGGTCCTACACAGGCCATGACCCAACTTTCTCATCCAGATTTAGTTTACTTTCAAATAGTATTGTTACATTATATACCATTGTCTTACATGCAAAAATATATGCACATTCCTCTTGAGTGCTTCTAGTGCCTCTTGTGCTCCTTCTTACAGTGCCTTCAGGGTCTTAAGATTCCTTTAATCTAACATGCTAGTGCTATATGATAGCACGTTAATTGTTCTTTCTCCTTCAAAATAACTGTTCAGAATTCTTACATCATCAGAAGCTTACTCTTATGATACCTTCCAAGATCTTATAACATGATCCTTATGGCTCTATGATATCCATTGTGTGTTGTGTTACTAAGCTTTGATTTCTCATTCCTATTTTTAGTTTACATAAGATCAAGAATCAGCTAGTGTCATCCAGTTAATTATTGTACTCTCCTCAAACATATCATGTATAGATCTGTGGCTCTTTTAATTTCTGTTCTGCTCAGGATAGACCTAATCACTTGTTCACCATGTCATATTTAACATTTGCTTATGTGTTATCCTTACGTTTCTTGAATTCAGACTTGGTGCCTTCCATGAGTATTCTCCTTTCAATTTCTCTTTTATTTGGTTTTGTCCTAAATGTCCTATATCAAGGCAATTCTTTATTCACTATTACTCCTTTGATAGCCTATAGACCTTTACTAATCAGTTGTTGAAGATCTTACTTCTCATGGTTGTAGTCACCTAACTTGATTTTTCTCTTTGTTACTTGTTATAATCTCCTCTCTATCTGTTAACAAACTGTTCCCCTATTACCCCATATCCACCATCTGTGTGGTTTCTTTCCTCTCCCCACCCTATTCCCAAACACCATCCTGATGTGTGTGCGTATACATGAGATTTGGTACTCAAGTTTGTTTGAGCATCGTGCAGGTGGGCTTGTTGTCTGTGAAGCATCAGAAGAATCAAGAATTGAGCCTCGTTATATATAGGCGAATTTTAATTTTGGAGAGACAGTCAGATTAATAAGTGATCAGTTAATAGAAGTTATTATGGGTAGCGGTGGATTATGCACCAAGTGTACATGTGGGAATGTGGCCAACCCACTTGACGCATGCAACACCGACAGGTGATTCCCCTGTGGCTTGTGAGGACCGAG